TCAAAAAACTGCCCAAATAGGTGAACTTGTCCACTTCCTCAATTTGTTGTTGTCCAATATTCAAAAGGGCATGTTTGGTGGTGTATCCGACTCGCATAACCTTAGTTTTAGTTGTACTTATGCGAAGCGCTATCTTGGCTGCTTCTTGTTCCAGTCTCTTTGTCGTTTCTTCTATGTTCTTTCTTATTGTTCCAAGTAGGGCGATGTCATCAGCAAAATCAAGGTCCGTCAGCCGTTCGGATCCTCGCCATGGAATTCCAAATTCAGGGTGATCCATAGCTTTTTGCATGACGCAGTCAACCACCATGAGGAACAGGAGGGGGGACAGAATGCACCCCTGTCGTACACCAGTCTCGATGGTAAAGAAATCGGTGTTTCCTGTTTCAGTTCGCACGCAGCAGCTTGACTTGTAGTATAGGTTCCAAAACATGTTGACGAAGCGCTCGGGTATGCCAAAGTCACGAGCAATGCACCACAGCGATTCTCGGTCCACGCTGTCAAACGCCTTGACAAAGTCGATAAAATTGATGTATAGTCGTTGCTGAAATTCCAAACTCTGTTCGATGATGTTCCGTAGAATAAAGATTTGGTCATTGCAGGATCGACCACAACGAAATCCAGCTTGTTCTTCTCGAAGCTTCTTGTCAACTGCTTCTCTTAGGCGCCGTAGAAGGACGATGCAGAATACCTTTCCAGGAACGGATAGGAGCGTGATCCCTCTCCAGTTGTTGCAAACAGCGAGATGTCCTTTCTTTGGGAGTTTGATGATGACTCCTCTTTGCCAATCCTCTGGGACTTGAGCTGTTGCCCAGCATGTATTTAGGAGAGTCGTCAGTTGTTCGACGATGGGATAGCCACCATGTTTTAGTATTTCAATACCTGGGATTACGTCGCAGAAATGATGCAGTGAAGTAGGCTATATTTTAAATGGTTGCTCGTTCAGCTGTATCAGGTTTTAAAGAGGAAGCACTGCTTTTAAAGTAAATCCTGCTGAAGTCTGTGATTGATGTAAATCAAAGAACAAAAGAAAAAGAGAAAACACTCGACTGCTCTAGTCGCTGATTAACTTTTGTAGCTTGAATTAAGATTAATCTTTATAGTTTATGCATATACAACATACTTTATGTGAAGATTGTTTTAAAATCACTTAATATTTCAGAGCCTATT